AATTAATGATGACACTTATAGGTTATTGATAGAGCCAGTTTGGTCTAGTAGTTAAGGCACCCCACTAGAAAATAAGAGACATTTGAACATGAGTTCAAATCCTGTCTTAGCCAAGAAAGCCAGCTGTGTGACCTTGGGCCAGTCACTCTCAGCCCAACTCACCTCATAGGTTGCTGTTGTGAGGAAAATAGGAAGAGGAAAGTGCACTGGATATATTCACCACCTTGAGTTATTTGTAATAATAGTGATGATAATGGTAGGATATCAGTAAATAAATACTCTAATTTGGGAATCTTCAGATAGTTTTGAAAAAGAAATATTCAAATGAAATATTTATGTGAGCAATCATCACATCCTGTGCTAAGCACATTGGGCTATTCTGAATGAAAGGTGAAAATATCCATGACACCCCTACTAGCCAGACCATATACCGATGCCAACCACTCCTGACCTGGCAATGAACATATGAGAGATACAAAAAGACCCCTTAAGCCTTCCCTCCCAGTGACATCCAGGCTGAAATTAAGTGCATCCCACAATAGGAAATATCAGACACCCAAATAAAAACCAAAAGAAATCCCCTCAAGACATGGAATTTTTTTGCACACGCTAAAGACTCTCCAGATGTAGACCTGTCACCCAAAGCTGACACCAAAACACATAAAAGATATGAGCATTATCTCACCCTGCAGGTGAAAAGGTGGCACTTCTTCCCAGATCCACCACAAACCTTCCAGGCAAACCATCTCCACAGCACTAGGGCCTAGACTTTCCTGTAAATATTTCCAAATCTTGCTTTCAAAACATGCCATCTTCAAGGGCAGAACTGTGTGTTATTATTTGCTGTCAAATAAATTCAACCTCCACTTCAAGTAGGTATCCTCTGTTCACTTACCCAGCCCCAGAACAGATCAGAATTTTCTTCTAACAGGCAAAGAATGCTGAAGAAATGTAGGCACCATTTAATCCATTTGGAAGCACAGGGGTCTATGAGCGAGCCCCAACGGTGCTTTTTCAGGAGGCAACTGGACTTCCTTGTTTTTCTTTGAAGAGGTTTTGCTTCTCATCCAAGAAGCTTCTTCAGCTCTGACTGGATGGTGGAGAATGGAAGGACTTATATTCCTTGCAGACAGCTGGGCATTTGCATTCTTTTAGAGGGTCACTGGGGCCATTTGGAAGTTAACCTGTGTCCTCAGGATCACCCGAGTAGTGCAAATGTGTATGGAGCTTTCCTTGGCTGCAAGATATTTTATGCCCTGTGTCCCTTCACTCTTGAAGACAGGCACAGGCTGTTGGAGGTGAGTCTGTGTTGTCTGCATCTCAAACTGAAGCGCAAATGGTTCCTATAGTCTGCAGTGTTTTCCGGAAATCTGTTCATATTCCTGCACCATTCCAAGGGTGTTCATCCCAAAGGAACTATTTGCACTTCAGTTTGAGATGCAGACAACACAGACTCATCACCAACAGCCTGCACCTGTCTTCAGCAGTGAAGGGACACAGGGCAGAAAACATCCTGTACATTTGCACTTCTCAGGTGACCCTGAGGACATAGGTAAACCTCCAAATGGCCTCAATGATTCTCTAAACCAGACATGTCAAACACAAGGCCCTGGGGCCACATGCGGCCTGCAAAGTGGTTTCATGTGGCCCGCGAAGCCATCCTGGAAACAGTGAGGGAACGGCCCCCACTGCCTTGGCCCTGGCCAGCCGGGAGCCAATGTACAATTTTGTGGTGGCCATCTATGCTGAAACGCATTCAGTCTTAGCTCCACAAGGCCGTCCAGAAACAGCGAGCAACAAGCCCCTGCTGCGTTGGCCCTGCCCCCCTGGGTGCATGCTGGGGAGGTGTCACCCTTTGTGAGGAATGCAGAAATGCACCATGCCTTGGCGCTTGCCCTGGTCCCACCCCCCTCTGCCAGAGACCCTCAGATCTGTTCCACTCCTGCCCAGACTCCCACAGACACCTTTGATGCGAATGATGTAGAGCTGGCCATGCCCACCCAGTATGCCACACCCATTCCATCCACGCCCACCCAGTAGGCTGCACCCACCCTGGCCACACCCACCCGGCCCCACCAAGGGCAACCGCAATGCTGATGTGGCCTTCAATGAAATTGAGTTTGACACCCCTGCTCTGAACGAATGCAAATGCCCAGCTGTCTGCAAGGAATATAAATCCTTCCGTTTCCCACCATCTAGTCAGAACTGAAGAAGCTTTTGGATGAAAAGCGAAATCTCTTCAAAGAAAAACAAGAAAGTTCAGTTACCTCGTGAAAAAACACTTTTGGGATAACCATGACCTGGATTATTGAGAACCTACATAGACATCTATAAGTTAGCATTTGCTTATAAGTGTGAAGCAATTTGGATCAAATAACAACAAACAAGTATTGTTTAGGCTGAAAATTGATCTTTACAATTTTAGATTACATGACTAAGAGTTGTTGGTACTAAAATTTTGATTAAGTCTTCTGTTCTTCTTTGGTCGGTTGTAAAATATTCGTCTTGGCCTACTGATACCTTGTCATTGTATAAAGCACTATTGTAGAAATTTAACTATAACACCCACAGGCACTGTCTTATGTAACTTTCTACAACAATATACGAAATTTTAACCAAAACCCACTTTCTCATAAATACAATTTTAAAAAATAGGCTTGTAGGGAGGTTTGTCATAGAATCCATCCCCAAATTGCTGAATCACAGGGAGTTTCTTTTATTTTCAAATATATCATGAAATTGATCTTCTCAATGTCAATTATTTTTTTAAATGACTGGAAATGACCCCAAAACAATTTATAACATTTAGTAAGCAAGCAACACTGATCATTCCTAGTACATGACAGAAGTATTTGTTTTGCCAGGCAGGGCAAGAAAGCTCTCCAACAAATCTGAGTATAGATAGTTATTCAGCAACAATTGAAACATATAATCCCCATAGCCCTCTAGAAACATAAGAAGTGAACTAAAAGAACATGTAGACAAGATTTTTGTTATACTCCTACGCACTGGGACTTAATGTCACCCTATAATTTCTGTAAAAATGCACAAAGCCCTACTTTGAAAATCAGCCAGTAGAGGCACTTTATCACAAGTAGATTTTTTTTTTAAGATTAGAGATTACAAAACAGCAGGAAGACAAAGAAAAAGTAAAAAAAAAAAAAAGAACCCTGCTAAGGAAGGCGGAACTTGGAAAAATACCAGACGAACATTTACAACCTTAGATAGGAGAAATGTTAGCAAAGCAAAAGGATCCTTCAGAGATCAAGGGTGACCTATGTTCTTGTCCTTTTTTGACCGCAGTCCAAAACACAGCAGTGAGTACTTTTCATTCAAACACCAACTAAAGTACAGAAAACTGTCTTCAGCATGGATAGAATATTAAAAACTCAGTACAGCTTTAGAATTTATAATTCTAGAATGTTTCCTGCTCCTATATTAATGATAATAAAGCAATAGTAGTGCAAAAGACAGATGCTATGGTTTACCTTATTTGGTTATTGCCTCCTAAAGATGGTCTCAGTTGTGGGAAGCTGTAGCTAAAGACCAGCTTGAGGTGAATCACAAGCTGATGTATTTTCACAAACAGAGAGGATATTATATTACACTTAGGCTCCAACCTTCTCCTCTGTTCTCCAGATGTGTTTAAATTCTGGGAAGTCCTGGATTAGTTCTCACTTAACAACCACTCATTCACTGATAGTACAAATGGAAAACATCGCTGAATGAAAGTGGTACTTAGGATCAATTCGCACAGTCATGTGGGTACAACCCAGGCACTCAGTGGCATGCTTGCAGTTACGATACTGCAGCATCCTATGGTCACACAATCCCCATTTGCAACCTTCACTACCAACTTCTGACAAACAAAGTCAATGAGGAAGCCGGCAGAAAGTTGCAAATGGTTTGATCTTGTGATCTCACGCTTAACAATGGTGCAAGATTTGCTTAACTAGAAGCGCCAGAACTGCCCTAGCTAAACAATGTGGTAACATGATGTCACACTTTGTGATGTCACTTAGCTATGGAAACTCCAGTTGTTAAGTGAGGACTACCTCTTCAGGGTTCACACATGTCTGGAGAACCTCAGATTGGAGAGAGCTGTTTGAGATTCTTAGTTTGACAGCCCTTCTTCATTCTTCCTACATCCTACTTTGGCTAACGTAGCATTCCTGAAACTTTCTATTTGGGGATTATAGAAGTAACTATTAGATCTAGCTTTGAAGCATTTTGTAAGTTGTCTCCAGATCACTTCCCTAAACAGGAAGAACTTCATTGCAGAAACATATTTTACACACAAACATACCTACCTACATATGCACATAGAGTCATTATCTATACCACGCCTACTCCAATAAAGCTATTTGTACACTGCTCATACACTGCATTTTTCTTTTCCTTGTTTCTTTATTCACAACTATTCCAATGGCAATTATTTGAACATGCATTAAACATTGTTCACAGTACGATATTTATTTAGACATCCTATTGTAATTGTCTCGTTTTTACCCCTTTCCTAATACAAGAAGATCCATATTTTCCAACTGGTTACATATATACCATCTCTGTAAACAACTATTCAAATTCAGTAGAAAAAAGCCAATCCCTCTCACTTGCTTGGTTTTCACTTTTTAACAAATGCTATTCCCGTGATTAATTTCCCCAGATTTCACATAAACCTACACCACATGCAAATGCTTTCTCAGCTGATATCTGCCGGACGACCCACTCCCCAGCCTCGATTTGCCCACCTCCCACCCACCCCCGGATCTGCCAGCCTTGTGGGCCACCGCACAGCTGGGAGAAAGCCGGGTGCTCCTCAGCCTCGGGGCCACTGAACGCTTGGCCTCATCAGCGAAATGAAAGCAGCCTAGAAAATCAGCCTCGTTTGTTTTCCCCATGCACGCAGCCAAGCCTCTAGTCCTCATGCCCCCTGATCCTCCTAATCTGTCCCCGCACGCACCCTATCAGCTGCCAGTTTCTTTTCGAGCCAGACCCACCTCCACCATTAATCTCTTTGCCTTTTCCTTTTCACCGGCTTTCCATTTTGGCCCCTTCCTGTGACGGGTCATCTGATTGAACTTGCTTTCTCTCTTCACGTGACCACGCCGGGTCCGCGGTCGACGTGTAGATGTGGTGTGACGCTTTTCGGGAACGCGGAGTTCTCCGCCCGGCTCGGCAAGTCAACTTCCGCCCAAAGGACTAAACGCGGCTTTGTTTTGTGTTTTGAAATCTTCACGCCGCCGACTGCAGCTTGGACTGCTGCGCCCCTTAGAGGGACGCCCGTCCGTTGCAGCGGAGAAGCCGCTGTTGCTGCTCCTGCGCTAAGCTCGGGCGCGGCTTTTTCTTATTATTATTCTTCTTCCTCCCGCTCTGCGGCGGCGCTTTCTGCAGGGGACGCGGAGGTCAAAGCCGGCCCGGCCCTCCGCTCCCTCCCTCGGCTGCGGTTTACCTCCCTCGGCTGCGGTTTAGCTGCCTGGGATTTTTGCGAGGCAAGACCCGGCTCTTGAACAGCAGCCCGGGCCCATCTGGTGTTTTTTTTTTTTTTTTGCATCTGCAGTGAGCTCGGTTGGTAGCAAAGCGTCAGGGGCTTTCTTGGTATGGTTCTCGAACGTTGCTGTCGTTATTCCTGTGAGAAATCATGAAATCGTCCCGAGTGTGTGTGCGTGGTGGTCTCCTTTTCGCGGGGGCTGCTCTCTTGGTAAACTGTGTTCTGAGGCCTGGAATATTTTTGGTGTTTGTAAGTGCCCTGAGCTATTTCGACGTGGAGAAAGTAAATGGTAAAAAAAAAAAAAAACAGGAGTGGTTTCTAGCCATTGATTTTTAGCTGCCGCCAAAGAGCAGCAGCTTCCGATTTTTGATAAAATTGTTTTCCTAGGCGGCAAAGGAAAGGAAGGAGCTCTTGAATGGCCTATTCATTTAATGCATTATTATTTTCGCCAGATATCAAATGCATGCACCTGGCTCATTTCAGCCGCGGGTTGTTGAAACGGAACTTGGTCACCTCCTGTTTGGATCAGTACAGCACACTACACTCTCACTCTTCAGTTGTAACTGGTTCAGAATGCCGTGGCCTGGGCAATTATTGTACCAGTCTTTGCCAAACTGCATGGGCTTCCGATGCAATCCAAGTTATTGGTTATTATCAGTAAAAACCTATTGTGGCACAGGACCATGTTATGCGACTGCCTGCCTCCCATTTTTTCTGCTTGGTGCATAGATCCGACAAAATCAATGCTCTACTAGGTCCCTTCTGTGAAAGAGTGCCATCTAGTGGGTCCAGGAAGCAGAGCCTTTTTGTCAAAGCACCTGATCTGTGGAACGGTTTGCCCCAAGATTCAGATGACCCTGACCCTGTTATAAGGCTCTTAAGACTTAGTCTAAGACAATGTTTCTCAAACTTGGCCATTTTAAGCTATGTGGACTTAAACTTCCAAAATTCCCCAGCCAGGCTGGGTTAGATACTTTTGGGAACTGAAATCCACACGTCTTAAAGTTGACTGCACCTGTATTCAACAGTGAAGGGACCCTTGGCAGAAAACATCCTACAGCCTAGAAGGCTCCACACACATCTGCATTACTTGGGTGACTCTGAGGACACAGGCAAACCTCCAAATGGCCTCAATGACTCTCTAAATCAGGGGTCTTTAAACGTGGCCCTTTTATGAATTGTGGACTTCAATTCCCAGAATCCCTCAGCCAGGCATGCTGGCTGAGGAATTCTAGGAGTTGAAGTCCACAAGTTACAAAAGGGCCAAGTTTGAAGACCCCTGCTCTAAAAGAATGCAAATGCCCAGCTGTCTGCAAGGAATATAAATCCTTCCATTCCCCATCATCCAGAGCTGAAGAAGCTTCTTGGATGAAAAGCGAAATGTCTTCAAAGAAAAATAAGAAAGTCCAGTTGCCTCCTAAAAATGCACCTTTTGGGACAACCATGACCTGGATGACTGAGAACTTTGCTTAGCATATTGACTGGTCTTGGTTAGCAAATTCTTTTGTCTTTGGTATGCTCTGCTTTTGTTTTGTTATATCAGGTGGCCGTACAAGTTGCAAAAGTAAACCACAGTGGCTAAATTCATGTATTATGCTAGATGGTAAGCCATACTTTGCAAATCTTAGGGAAGACATAGGTTCCTGTAGTCTGCATTGCAAACACTATTGCTTTGCACAGTGAGCAAACCCAACTTCACTGATCATCAGACCAGACATAGATAGTTCAATAAAAATATTTTTCATCTCAGAATAACAGAGTTTTAAGACAAACCAAATTTCTAATGAAATCTATTAGACAAGTATGGAACTCATCTTGTGAACGCAGTTTAAACAGTCTGTAATTACATCACATACTAACCCTTAATTTGCTTCATCATGGCTTGCAAGTAAGCAGAACATATTTTGATGTAGGGGACTGCACAAATCCAGCCAGAGAGCCCAAAGCTCTTAAGGATACTTGCACTTTTAGATACAAAAAAACAGGAGTAATATTTCTCTTGTTCTTGCCCTCTTAGATCAGACTAGCTAAATATGCCCTTTCACAAGTGCCCTTTAACAAAATGAAATTCAATAGTGAAAAAAGTAAGGTTCTACATTTAGGCAAGAAAAAACAAATGTACAGGTGTAGTAGGGAGTACCTTGCTCAATAGTAGTAACTGTGAGAGGGATCTCGGAGGCCTAGTGGACAATCATTTAAATATGAGCCAGCAGTGTGCTTGCAGCTGCCAAAAAAGCCAACACAGTGCTAGGCTGTATTAACAGAGGGATAGAATCAAGATCACGTGAAGTATTAATATCACTTTACAATGCCTTGGTAAGGCCACACTTGGAATACTGCATCCAGTTTTGGTCACCACGATATAAAAAAGATGTTGAGACTCTAGAAAGAGTACAGAGAAGAGCAACAAAGATGATTAGGGGACTGGAGGCTAAAACATAATGCACGGAATTGGGTATGTCTAGTTTAACAAAGAAAAATGGTGTAGGGTTTCCTGCCTGAGCAGGGGGTTGGACTTGATGACCTCCAAGGTCCCTTCCAACATCATCATCATCATCATTATTATTATATTAGACCAACACTTGCCAATGTGTGTAGCTCATAATGAGCTGACTTCCTTTTCCCACGATATCTCTTATGACTAAAATTTTATATGGTTGAGAGTTTTCTTCACTAATTACCATCACGTCACTTTAGCAAAATATACAGAAAGGATATAAAAGCCCCAATACTGGTTAAGAATGTGATTCGTAATGTGTTTGTGCAATAAAATACATTAAGATGGCTTCATGAAGAGTTTTTCTTATGTAGTAATAGCCTATTGCTGTCCAGACGTGGTTTACTTTTAAAAAATATGCTCTATTTATTTTCAATAAATAGAACTGGAAACAAAATCTGGTTTTGTTCTAGTAGTTTTAGTAACCGAATAATGTTTAAAAAATCCAGATAATTGAGTTTTCCTAGCTATGAATCATCATGCCAGAACAAATTGTTTCAATTTGTTGCCTGATTATCACAGGTCTATTAAAAAATACAACTGCTTAAACTGAACTAGTAAAAGATCAGCAACATAACCCAGTAGTGTAGAAAAATATCGGTGTGGTTCACAGCTGATTGCAGTACCTGGCTAACTTCGGGTGATCTCAAAAAGCTTAGGAGAGTTGGACCAATTAAGTCCTTAAATGGAAGATTACCAACAAATCAACAAAGGGGATAAAGGTTAGACTGGGGAGGGGGGAACTCTGCAGAAGACAACTTTGGCAAATTGTTTCTGAATTGTTGCTAAGAAATTATGTTTATGACCAAAATATTACCAAAGATCAGTTTCAGGGAAATTTTGTATAATCTATTACTCATTACTCATCATGATAACGTAAGGGTGTGCTCTTCACATTTACAATACTCAGAAGCAAAAAGCAAAAAATGTGTTATAAATGTATTGAAAGGAATAAAGATGGCCTTTCTTCCCACTTCAACCACCATATGTGATCATTTCCATTTCACTTTATGAGCAAAAGAATTGCATTTTTGTAGGAATGGTTTGAATTAATTACGTATCTACTTTATTATAAGACAAAGAGATTTATTTTGAATTTCCCTTGTTCCATTTAGAAGAAAAGGTATTGCTCATGTCACATATCTCTGTAAATCAACATTGGGATTTAAGTATGATTATTGCAGAAAGTAGGAAAAGCCATCCTTAATGAAAAATAGTACAGGAAAAGATAAAGGGACTTTTTGAACAAGATGTATAACAAGTACATAAACTGCTTCCCTGTGAGTACAACTCTCAGAAACACATCATAATGATTATCTTGTCAATTTTTTTTTTGCAATGCCTTTGCCGTACAAAGTTATAACAGTAGTTTACTGAATAATGTTAGTCATATGGCCATGCCATAGCTCTGCCAATTAAAGCAGAAATACAGGATAATTGCATGGTTTGAAGGCAATACTGTCATGTCTAGAATCTTTTTTTATACATGTGATTTAGAGACAATTATATGGATGAGAGAAGGAGATCACTGCATTGCCGTATGCAACAGTGTAAAGAAACTTTTGCCACTCCTGCCATTTTCCAAGACTCTTTACTTGGAAATTGCATGTACTAAAACAAATCTTCAAATTTACTCAAGATTAAGCAACAGAACCTTTCTAAGTATCATTTGGATAGTTACTCCAGTATAAGGTGTGCTGCATTTTTCCTGTTCGTACCAAATGATATAGCTTTTATTAGAATTAAGGTAAACAAGGAACGTATTGTATATAGTGGAGGTAAGATCAAAAAGCATATTGGGTAGATGGAAGAACTAAGATTTGGGGAGCCAGAGAATAGAATACAAAACAATTGTAATGTCATTTTAGCCTATCCATTTAAACTATGTGGAATGCCATCAGATTACATGAAGTACCAAAAATTCACTGAATTCTAAAACTTGAGAGGCAGATTTCTATTAATGCCATTAAAAGCAATAGCATCAAAATATACATTTCTGCACAGAAATGCAGGTATAGAAGCTAAGCTTCTTATTGCTCAGAGGACAAAGTGGAAAAGAAATACAACAGAATACATCCAACTCCTTACAGTTGGGAGAAAGATTCTGTAATTTTTAAATCAAGCAATAACTGCTGCCAAGCCTAATTCTTAAATTAGAGCTATAGGCCAAAGATTCTTTTCTGGATTGTTTGTATGGATGCCCCTTAAGCACTAACTTGCATGGTTAGGAAGCAGGGATTATCTACATTGAACCTAAATGGCTTTGGCTAATTGTAAAAAGCTAAGCTGTATCACATCTAATATACTCGGATGGGAGATGTCTAAGGAAATCTCAGAACTATAGGTTAGACTGGGAAGCAAATCAGAACCCCAGAAAGTTGCAAGGACCACACTACTTTTGTATTATTGCTGGAATCAATTCCATAGAAATCTCTAGGCAACTATCAGGAGTCAAGTACGGCTTACTTGTAGTAGTTCAAAATATCTAGAGGACATTCTGAGAGCTTGTATGGTGTAGAACCTAAGGTGCTAGGCTAGAATGGGAAACCATGTTCTAATCCTCCCTTAAATGTGAAAGCCAGCCAGGAAAGCACAATCAAATCATTCCTTCTCAGTCCAAAACAGCTTCTGATCCTAACAAGCTAGCTAGTAAGAAGAACCCCTCATCACTTCATGGTATGTCAGCTTGGCTCTAAGAACTGCAGTAAGCCCAGTGCAAAAGAAGCAGATCCTGCAACAAAGCAGGATAAAAGAACAACACACTAATGCTGCCTTCCATTAATAAAGAGGCTTATGACGGCTCATTGTTAATACTTCTCAAACGCTGCGATCAGAAAATGATTCTAATTTAACTTTGCTAGGGCAGCAATAATACACTCTTGTTACACTCTTAATCACTTGGCAATCATTGTTTGGAGGCTGAACCTTCTGTTAACAGGATATTTATACATGACATTCAAATTATGGCACAATTTAATCGATGTCTGAGTTATTTGATTACCTCCCAAGTCACTAATTAGACAGTCAAGTTTTGCTTAATGCATAGGAGGTACAGTATGTTAGAAAATAATAGAAAGTTGGGTTCTAAGACACTTGTTAATAAGTGGAGCCAGTTGGTTCCTTAGGAACAAAAAAGTCAGTCTTCAAACAAGGAGAGAAATGCTCATTTAGGGGGATATGTGCTGCTTTGCCCAGCAATACCTCTGTAAGCACTTCGTTTTTTAAAAAGAATTAGTACATTCTTATGTAAAAAGTGGAAACTGCTCACTTTAAAAAAATTCTTTTCATGCTTGCTTTGCCTCACCTCCCCAGAAAACATTAAGCTTATGAACAGCAGGATAAAGATACAATGGATAATACTGATCTCAGAATGAGAATTCCACAAGGTACCATTTAGAAACTGTCCCATTCTAAAAAATATTTCTGGTATACTGAAAGAGCCACTCCATATAGGTTCCGTAAAATGTCAAAGAGGTAGATCTGGCTAGTTTTGTGGGGAAAAATGCATGCGCAGCAAACTGCCATGCTTTCCCCCCCAGAAACCTTATAACCTTTTGATACCCTTTGTCCCAATGAAGCAGCCAGAAGGTCATCCCCTTTTGACTTAATACCTCACCTACCTAAATAGATAATATGCTTAAGTTACTTCCTATCTCTTCCTGCCTTTGTCAGTTCTTTCTCCTTTTGATCTATCTGTATTTGTTTTTACCTGGTCTCTGATCAGGTAATATGTTACTAGAAAATAGTTGCTTATATGAAGGAATTTTCCAATGAAGAAACTTTATGTCAGCATCTAATGGTTAAACTTATGAATGTAAGATGTCAGCATTTAATGGTAAAGCCTGTGTGTGTAAAAAGTATATAAAAACCAATAAACACACAGAGACTCTCAAGCTGTCTCAAGCTGTGACAAGCAGCTCTGCAGCAGCTTCAAATCTCTGCTCAAGATATGCCTGAGTCTTTTTCTTAGCATCTTACATAGTTTGAAGTAGCATCCACAAAGCAGAATATGCAGCTTCTCCAGTCTTTTTAATACCTGGTTTAGATTATCCTGTCATCAGTACACCTATATAACTTCCACTAACTCATGCCTTGAAGAGGCGTAGGGAAATCTAATAAGGAATCCTCCAGTGGAATGCTCCAATGCTGGGCCCAATGCACCTGGCAGAGTATTTGCCAGCTAAACATATGCTTAATGTAGGCAAATCCCCATTTCCAACCAATAATTTGTATAATCTGGTCCTTAATAAGTTTTAGATAGGCAGGCATCATTTTCTAATAAGGAACATTCTTTCCTTGGATTCTCCAATTGGTCCTCCAAGTAATTAACAGCCGTCACAAGAGCAGTAACTATCACCCTTCCTCTTCAAATGCGGCAAAGTAACTCTTCATGTTAGTCATAATGGAATAGAAAAAGCTGGAAGAAACATGGCACGTGACAGTAAGACTCAGTGTAGCCATCAAAGCTTTGCATGTATGTCTTCTGCCTGCAAGGAGAAGGACAGCTTGGTGCAGGACATCTCTTGGTCCCCGTTGCTCAGCACAACTCTCATCTTGTAGTCTCCATTGGTGAGGAAAGAAGGCAAATCCATGTTGGGTATGAAGAATTCAGAGGAAGGAAGGGTGTAGGTCCCCTGAAAGAAAGACAAGCCATCCCGTCAGTCTCCATAAGTTGATATATTGCCTCTCCCTGTCTGTCAGAGTACAGTTTGAGTACCAATAAAGCACACCAAGCATATCTTTTAAAACAGGAGCAGAAATGAGGAAGCATTTACAGGACTGAACTACTGAAATAGCTCTTCAGTGTAATCAATAAAAGATCACTGCAAATTGCTTAAACAAATTTGTGCATTTGAGCATGACTCAGTATGGAACATTCCATTGTCTGCTTTTATATTGTTATTCGGTACCTAGAAGCGTTGTGGATAGTCAACACAGGCAAATCTTCTATAGCCCAAGATGCTGGCTAGGTCCTCTGAGAAAAAGGATATCTACTATGACAAGATAGATTGCTAAAAGCAGATTTGAAAAAAGAACTTGGAAATTAACACTGGCAAAATAGCGAAGAGCCAAGAGAATTGGGCTGAAATAGGGTACAATAAAGCATTTTGGAAAACTTACACAAGGATTGCATGTTGTGATCTGTCCATAGCAAGCTATATGCTTTCACAGAAAATCCAGATTCCTCTTTGAAAGGTGTCCGGTTCTATTGGCAAGTTAACTCCTTTATTTTAATGCATCATTACATTTTAATTGATAAGTTTTCTCAGAGATGCACTGCATTATGGGCCACCTGAACGCATTCATTTTGTAATCATAAGACTGAAGTTATGTAAATAGTAAAAAAAAAAAAAACTTAAGAGCACATTTGACTACAGCTGAAAATCTTGGCCAGTCTATCATCTATTTCTGGACAGAGCTGCATTAATGGAGGCACACAGCTATTGGTGGTATACCAACTTTACAGAGAAAGGAGTGTGAGCAGCTGCTGATGCCCAAAGGATTTTGTTGCTGTGTTTCGAAGACTAAGAAACAAAAGGAGGAAGAAGGCTCACCGCTTTGAATGGGCAATGACATGGAATGTTGTAAGTTTGCAATGGCGGTGGACATGGCTCGCCTGGAGGGATGAGACTGTCCAGCATGGTGCAAGTATCATCATAGGTGCAGCTCCCAAGCTGATCCACACAAGGGACTTTTATCCAGATATCCCCAAGCTTCTTCTCCAGTATGACAGTTGCCTGGAAATAGATGTGAGCATTAATATTCCGTCTGAAAATTTCTTCCTGTCATTAATACAACCTGGCGTTTCTTTCCCAATAGGTTGTTGATAGCAAACTAGTTAAAACAACTTGAGAAATCAGTGATTGCTCAGTCAATTTTCTGAATGTGTATCACTATTTAGGCTACTTGCTTTGAAGAAAAAAACAATAACCCTGACTCATCTTTAAATATAGGGACTGAATCTGGTCTGACAGCTAAATTTGGGACCCCACCTTATCTGGGAGAAGATAAATATCAGGGAGACACACCTTGAAAGAGGTGTAAACCTCATCCCCAGAAAAGTTCGTTTTTCTTCTACCGCTATCTCCTTTCGGATGAAGGATGCCACACTCCCAATAAGCTCAACTGGGAGATGCAGTTGGATGTTGCCATTTTACTTTTCTATTCACCTTGGGAGAAAGTGTGGGAGAAAGCCCCTTGCAAAAGATTACTTAATTATAAAATGCATCGGATTAAAGGAGCATGTTCATGGACAGGATTTATTCTCCATGAAATAATCCAACATACAGAAGTTAAAAGGGGGGGGTGACCCTATCACTTTGTAAGGAGTATTAATAAGCAAAGCATGCGCTCTAACGCTAAGCTACAATCACTTGGGCACCCTTGACATAAACCTAATGACCAGCTGGGAAAATAATGCCAGCCAAATGCAACTTTTATCTGATTCAGCAAGGCAGCTCTTATGTTCTCAGATATCATAAGCCACCACCTAGGAGCAGTAGAGAGCCATACAAATGCTGCAAGTTTCCTATACACTCTTCCCATTTATATCCTTTTTGGTATAGAAAGCAGTTTTCTCCAACCTGGTGCCAAACCCCAACCTTGCTTAGCTAACAGCTGAAACGCTATCCTCTAACACAGGCATTTCAAACTCGCAACGTATCGCGACTTTTTTCCCAGTGCCGGCAATGGGGTGGGCGCGGTTTCGATGTGATGCATCCAGCCCGCGGGCCAGCAGTTTGACATGCCTTCTCTAACACGTCTGCAGAATATCAGCTGATGTCGTCTTTCCCAGCCATTTATTGCCATCCCTTTTTTTTCCTCTGTGAATATTCTCTAAAGCTCCTAAAGGAAATGAACCCCGACTGTCCTTTGGAAGGACAGATATTGAAGCTGAAACTCAAATATTTTGGCCACAAAATGAGAAGAGAGGACTCATTCCTGATGTTAGGAAAGACTGGAGGCAAAAGGAGAGAGGGATGGCAGAGAATGAAATGATCAGATAGTATCACTGACTCAATGAATATGAATTTGGGCAAACTCCAGGATGGGGGCAGGGGGGCTGATGCGCTGCAGTACACGGGCCCACAAACAGTTGGACACCACTTAGCGACTGAACAACAACTCTATAGCAGGAAAAATAAAGGTTCAATACCATTGCTCTGTGCTGGTCCTCAGAGGAAATAACAGACACCAAAAACACAGTTTAACTACCCAAGGTGGCCAGGCATGCAAAGAATCCCCTAACTAAGCCTCTGGGTTCTGGCTGGATTGCCTCCTCTCCCCCAACAGCATGATAAGGATTCACAGGACAAATGCTCACAAGGCAGGCCAGCTTGGCTGGTATCAAAGGTCTCAGACACTTGTCCTGTTTTCTGTGATGCTTCTGAGAACAGCTGAAGCTCTGTTTTTCCTATGCGAGGGATTCTCTCTCCTCCTAATGTGAACACTTCCACATGGTTTTTTTTTTCACTGCTCTCAAATCAGCCATCATCTCTATTCATAAGCGGGTACAATTTATCTCTAGCTCCTTACCAGCACCTCCCAAATCACAGCTGAAGGGAATTTGCAACAAGGAAGTTGGGAAGAAGTGGTGTAGACTCACTTCTCACAGGGTATGTATGTGTGTATTATTCAGTCACTCCAACCATGACCTTACACTTCCTCATTCTCACAGAGATCAGCTGCCACCGAGGTTTGCTAAGATGCTACTATTTCCCAGAAATTTAAAATATAGCAAAGGGACAGTGACTTTGGGGTTTGCAAGATCCACTGGCCATAATTGGACTAGATGGGAAACCATCACACTATGAAATGAAAACATAGATGAGAGGCAGGGTATTGGCTAAATGTCTTTGGATTTTCCTGCTGTTAGCAGAATTAACAGGCTCATCTTTTTCCAGCATTCTGAGTGTGGCTGTAGCTGAAGACGTCAGGAAACTGGCTTCCAACAACTTCTGAAGAGCTGGCAATTGAAATGAAATGCTCTTGAGGAACATGCCTGAAGGAAATGTACCTCTGAAAGGAGAGATGAGGGCTTGATTATACCTAAGTCACATTTTTAATAATCAACCTAATAAATACGTTCTAGACTACTATGCTGCACTTTTCTAAATTTTGCAATATAGTATTTCTTTCTCTCTCTCTCTCTCTCAAAAAAAAAATCAGGATTAAAAATCTATTTTGGCCCAAGATGTACAGGAATGTTTGTGGAAACTCTATGAATTTTAATGAGAATTTTCACATCGTTTTGTGTTCTTAAGGTGCAAACTGATGTGGAAATTGGACTGAATGGATTTTGGCATGCAATACCTGCAAAGCTGCCATGGCCAGGGAGCAAACAGCATCCCTGGACAAAATCTTTCTGCAGAATTGGAGAAATCCAGCATTGGTTACAGCACCCAAATAAATGAATGAAATGAAATTATCAGAGGCAACTCACTGAATTTCTCATTATGGATTTGCTACTTATGTTCCATTTTCATAAGACTCTCCGTGTCCTCTAACGTTTAAAAACAAATGCAACTTCTCCGAGTTTCCTACTGAGCGGTACTAAGTTTACTTTATTCTCCAATGTGTAATTTTTTTCAGGCATTGCTATCAAGACCAATGCACTCTTGCATAAATATTAAGAGAACCTCTAGGCCAGGGGTAGGCAACCCTGGTTCTTTTATGACTCGTGGACTTCAACTCCCAGAATTCCTGAGCCAGCCATGCTGGCTCAGGAATTCTGGGAGTTAAAGTCCACGAGTCATAAAAGAACCAAGGTTGCCTACCCCTGTTATAGGCCTAAGCTCAAGAAAAATGCTTGTCCCTTGTCCAAGCAGTTGCGAAATGTGCTGTCTGGCCAAATGTGAGCAATATCTCTTCCCCCCACTTACTTAAAAAAAAAAGCTTGGTGCAAAATCCAGAAGATTTGGGTTTGAAAACAGCCTTGAACGTGCAAACATACATATCATGTCACAGTTTCCTAGTTAGAAGCAAACCTCAGTTTGCCATTTTGAGTCAATCTCAATTCTAGCTAATGAACAAGCCATAGCATTGTAGCTGAAAGGATTCCCATACTATCCTGTGACTCTACAACAGAAAAGCCAGGGGCCTATCAGTTGATTCCAGCTGAAGTCCACAGCCCAGGTGAGGAAGACGGAAGCGCTCCAATGCTAGGTGAGTTGGAAACCCACCTGGAGATGACCCAAAATCACAAAATTCTACTTCTTTTGACAGAATTTCATTCTATTTTATCTGAGATAGCCCTTTCTACCTCAGTGCCCAAAATCTAAAACAGGAAAAACAGCACTAGATCAAAAATAATAATAATGATGATGCTAGAATGAACACAGCTATGAGAACTAGTAACAGAAAGATCAAGAAACCAGTAAGACAGGAAAAAAAAAAAACCATGAGAACATGAACAAATTAGAAGAAATCAGCATACAACATCTGAGCTAAATCACAACCCACGTTCTCAGGCCTGGGGCTTGAAAGGCTCATATATACATAATTTTTCAAGATTCAAAAGTTTTGCGCAAAACCAAGTAGGTTGTATCAGTACAATCAATAAACACAAGGCAATTTTCATTATATTACTCTGTGGGTATTATCTGCAGCTTTTACAGTCTTTGAAGGCTGACATCATTCTGGATATAAAATTATTGTACATCTCCTGATTTTATTATTATCCCTTAGAAAGGGATAGACCATGGTATGGATAACTAGTTGCTTAATAGGAGAAGATAAGCTGGAATCCAATTTCTGCTGATTTTTTTTAATGCTTTATAATAGGCTATCTAACTCCCAAATAGCTTACACGGGGTAAAAATATGTAAATCAGAATAGCCAATAACACTACAGGCGATACACTGAAACCAGCAGTATCACAATACAATGTAAGTGGGATCAAAACCCCATCTATTCCAATAATAACGAAATTACAGGCTATGAAGTTTCTCAACCTTGACCACTTTAGGATAAGTGGACTTCAATTTCCAGAATTCCACAGCCCGCATGGGGAGTTGACGTTCATACTATTAAAGGAGCCAAAGTTGAGAAACACTGTTCTAAAACACCTGCAAGCACCCTTTCCTTCTTCTATTTGGAGGATGGCCAATTTTTTTAGTCACAGGGAACTGAAAATACTAAATGGGGAAATTATGCAAAATGCAGGGCTAATATTTTCCACATTAAGCGAGGGCTTATTTTTTGTTATTTTGTTTCATTTTTAATGGTCTCAGGCCTATTTTAGGGCATACAGCTTTCCTGCGTTTTCTGACTTAACACGGCTGGAAAGGGCAGCACCACTTTTCAATAATCACACTGCTAAAAACTGGCAAGGAGCCTTGGGTCTACAGACTATTCACTCCTGATCTACTGGAAGAGATGTCTTTCTCTGACAACAATTAGGAAGGGGAAAAGGGCTTTAGCAAGAGGCAGGACTAAGATGACTGTGAGGTATCTTGGAGACTAAGCAGAGTCTGCCATGGTTGATGCTTTGACGGGGCATCAGCTGAGAATGACAAAGCTGCTGAGTGGACTGGAAAGTTGGGGGGAAAAAAAACTCCAGAAGGCAGCATTCTGTTAGGTTCCAAGAAAACTACATGGATTCAATCATCAGGGTTTGAACATTATTCAAAGATGCCTTTATTTAGGAAAGGAAGAACAAAGGGGGGAGCTGAAGAAACTAGAGCTACCCATGTCCAAGTTGAGCTGCCACAAAAAATAAAACAGTGCAATCTTATATCAGGCCTGGTTTAGTTAAAGATATCAAATAAATAATGTTTATTTTACCAAATGTACTACTATCAATGCAAGTAACAATTCTGGTTTGGTTTGGTTCCATCATCTTTCACGTACCTTCAGAGGAGCACAGAGGCTTATAGTGTTGGCCCCTGATGCGCTGACTGTCACATCTCCAGGGACAGCAATTGGATCTGGACTTACAGACAGACTCTTAATTATTGCAGGTTCCGATGGAGGACCACAGTTCTCCCATGCAAAGTTTTCGACCTAAAGGTGTAAAGAAAGACCAGATTTAAAATGGTGCATTAGGTTTGACAGGAGGACCTTCCCCAATCTGGTTGGGGAACACTGGCTAAATTGGCATCGCAGCCCAAATACATCTGGAACACCCCAGCATAAGGGCAGCTATGTTATGTTTTCCTTAACAGGATAAATTATTGTTACAGAACTTGGAAAGTATAATTTAATTAAGGAAAAAAGAGGAGTGGTTGAACTATCCCTTTGTGCCTATCTAACACTTCCTATCCTATTTTCAATTGATCAGATTTCCTTTCTTTTGTTTAACAAGATCTGTATTTAAGTGATAAATCTGCATTTTCTAGACTTTCTGTGAAGAGTCCCATGATCCACTGCACTTTTAAACCCAGAATGCTACTTTCTAAGATATTTAGATTAAGCTTCTCTCAAACATGTAGTTTTCTGTGCATTTTTCATATGGAAGACCAGGGCTTTTTTTCTCATAGAACGCCCAGAACGGAGTTCCGGCACCTTTTTTGGATGGAACCTTGTAGGGTAGGCAAGGTGGGTTGTATGACATGTGTGAGTTCTGGCATCTTTTTTTTTTTTTTTTTTTTTTAGAAAAAAAGCACTGTGGAAGACCATTAGACCATGGGAAACTCTCTGTTTGCAGCTAGAAAAGGTACAAAAAGGATTTACGACTTCAGTTAATCTTATAGTTTCGTTTGGTTCCTGCATAAAATTTATTTACGTAGGTGGCCTTCAAAAGGCAACAGACAGAAAACATTTTTGTTCTTATTGTTTTCTCTGAGTATCAAAGTACAAGCGAGGCTACAGCAAAGCTTGAAAAGAGCAAAAGCTTTGTGGACAGGCAGGAGAATTAGAACAGCCTTCCCATCCAAAGTGTCCTCCAGATAGGGAATAATAATCTTGGGCTTACAATCACAATTGAGCCCAAAATTTCTGTTAAGTGAGTTCTGCCCCATTTTATGACCTTTATGACCTTTCTTGCCATACTGCAACTGATAAGTTAGTAACTTGGTTGTTAAGTGAATCTGGCTTCCCCATTGACTCTACTTGTCAGAAGGTCACAAAAGCTGACCTTGGGACACAGCAACAGTCCTAAGTATGAACCAATTGCCAAGCATCTGAATTTTGATCAGGGGATGCTGCAAAGGTCGTAACTGTGAAAAACGATCATAAACACTTTTTTCAGTGTCATTATGACTTTGAATGGTCACTCCATGGACTGTTGTAAGTGGAGGACTACCTGTACTGAGCCTGCATTTTTTCCAGGAGCCTGGTCACCACTTCTGAAGAGCCCTAGATTAGACAAAGCAAAGCTAAAATATTTCTGTGGCCTTTTGCTTTGAATATTATCCTGGGGTGCTCTTGGGACTGCAGTTATTCTATTACCTGCTGGAGAATTTTCCTCAATGGCCCCAGTCACTTGGACACTACAGATTCCTATACTTCCTTATGAAAATGCAGGGCTCGGCCCACCCAGCCCTTCAGGATTGGCAAGTACTTTTAATTCTTAATGAGAAGTGCTTTCTGTGTAGGAGTTTTCTGTTGTTTGGAGAAACCTTTCAAGAGACTGGTTAGACAGGATGACTCCCCGTAGCTCCAATTGGTAAATTCTCAGTTGAAAGCCACTTTTAACACAGAAGCAAAGCACTGCAATCTATAACAATTTCATCACAGAGTACTTCAGGTCTGCACACGTTAGACATAACAGCAGTGACATACCCCAGAACCTTCATGGAGATCACTGTGTCCCTTACTCAGCAAGTGCTATTGGGTAAATCTAAATTTACATAGATCTTTAAAAAAAGATAAGCGTCCTTGAGAATTAAGATTGAAGTTTAATCATTAAGCTTATTTAACAAACACAGCTTTCTTGTGCAAGGACATTTTCTTAAAAGTGTTGCAAAACCTCTGCTTCATTTGGTCAAGTGTAATCTCCAGTACTCTGGTAATAGGATATTTATAATGTACCAATAAATATTTGTAGTTCAGGGTTGAAATGAGGGGTCCTTGATACTCACAGAGTTTGGTTGTTTTCTTGCAGATGTGTTTTTTACTCAAACTAGATAACATCATCAGTGCTAGAAAAGAGTGGGATTTGCTCTCAGTTTATATTCTAGCACAGGGGTGTCAAACTCAATTTCATAGGGCCGCATCAGCATTGTGGTTACCCTCAGATCTGAGAGTCTCTGGCAGAAATGGGTGGGACCAGGGCAGAGCCCATCAAGCCGGATATGTGAAGTAGGTGAGGGCCATTTGCTGGCCACTTCCAGGCGATGGTGCATTTCTTCATTCCTCCCAAAGGGTGACACCTCTCCAGCATGCACCCAGGGGGTGGGGCCAACACGGCAGGGGCTGGTTCCTCGCTGTTTCCAGACGGCCTTGTGGAGCTAAGATTGAATGCATTTCAGCATAGACGGCCACCACAAAATTGTACATTGGCTCCCAGCCGGCCTGGGCCAGGGCCAAGGCAGCGGGGGCCGTTCCCTCACTGTTTCCAGGATGGCTTTGCGGGCCACATGAAACCACTTTGCGGGCCACATCAGGCCCCCGGGCCTTGTGTTTGACATGTCTGTTCTAGCAGCTTCAAGACCACTAACACTGACAAGGCAAACCACTAGAACAGTGGTTCTCAACCTGTGGGTCGGGACCCCATTTGGGGTCGAATGACCATTTCACGGGGGTCACCAAACCATGCTGTCCGCCATTTTTTTCCTTTTTCCCTAGCTGTCCTACTCCCTCTTATTGGTGGCCACACCCACTTGGGGGTCACCACAACATGGGGAACTGTATTATGGGGTCACGGCATTAGAAAGGTTGAGAATCACTGCACTAGAATATAAACTAAGAGCAAACGCCAGCCCTTACTAGCACTGATGATGTTACCTAGTTTGGGTAATGAAATGTCTGCATAAAAACAACCTAGCTCAGAGAGCAGGAAGAGCACCTTATTTAGAATGTAATGTTTTATAAGTAACATTTAAGATAATTTTGAAAGCAATCTTATTAGATTCCAATGTAAGAGGCATTTAAGCCCATGCACTGATCGATCAATCAATCACTCCTCAAAAAGCCGAACTGCATATCCAAAAAGAATGTCTTATGTATCCCACATCCTAGAACTGTACAAGGAATTCACAATGCATATGGGAAATTATGTCTGCATGCTATGTTGCGCACTAAGTTTTGTAAATGACAAAAACAATAGTTGTTCATCTGAAATAAGATAGACAGATAGACAGATAGACAGATAATCTTTATTGTCATTTTTTTACTGTTGGTACAATGGCACATATTAAAAATGAAATTTAGTTGCCCAGTTGCTCTGTCTGCAGAACCAACTGGCAATCATTTCTAGAAAACAGGAATATCACTTTGTTCACACACAGTGAACACGGTATGTTTTCCGACTGCTGTTTTTTAATATATAATATTTTCCCCTTTATCCTGTTGTTTTGGCTGGTGTGGTTTACTTCCTTACAAGCTATTTCCAGAACTCTAATGGCTACTTCACACAGGAATAGCCCTGAGTTGCATGAATCGTTACCATGATCTTATTGTCTTTTAGAGTAATCTTTATCAATAATATTATAATAATGATAATATTTGTATTATAAATAGAAGGCTGCCAGTTTGAAATCTGGCAAACATTTCTATTACTTTTTTTTTGCTTTCCATAATTTAATTATGGAACTTTTTCCTGAGTTTCTCAAGGCATATGTTATAATCACTGCACCATTGCAATGTTACTCACAAAAATAGCTATAAAACCAACACATCAGTAGGAAAGGCATTATTTTAAAATTTGATACAGGTGCATTTTGAACTTTAACAGTGTGTGTGTGTGTCCTCCACACAATATTATAGCCCAAAGTTGCTTTTCAAAAGGCAACAGGATTTTCTTAGTTTTTTCGTTGAAAACATTTTACTTGTCATCCAAGAACCTTCTTCAGTTCTTCAGAAACATTTTCAAGGAAAAAACTACAAATCCAGTTGCCTTTTAAAAAGCACCTTTGGAACAACCATGGCCTGGATGATTGAGAATCTCCATAGACACTCTCCCCTCCCATAAGACTCATCCCTATCAAGGGAAGCAATTGGGAATTTTCCTGGCACAAAAATGAGGAAGGACAACAGCAGCTGGGCCATTGTCCAATCGGAGGATGTGGCAGCAATTGCTAATAGACAAAGTGTTTTTCACAGACAGAATGTCCCGTAACTCCCCAGAGGCACAAGTACAATTAGGTGAAACATGGAAAGCTGCTGGTAGTGAATGTACACCACCCTGGGATGAATGACTTAATATTGTAATTCAGTTTACAGCAGCATCTTATGTTCCACATGGAGTCAATATCACAAACACTTACTTCCAACAAGTTCATTGGATTACTTTGGAGTGACCCTTCCCTGAAGGCCAGCAAGCAGTCAATTGGATATTTAATAGTCAGTCTTTTTGAAAAAAAAATAAAAATGTGCCTATTGTACTAGTTATTTTAAGTATTGCTTATTTTTTTATGTTCATTTTATTGCCCTATATTCAGTATTTAATGGCTTGTAGCCTACCCTGAGATCCTTAGGATAGTGGCCAGGTTAAATATATTTACTTTGGTAACTATTTATCTTGCTCCTAATTTAAATGAAAGAGGATGAATAGGAACTCAGGAAACCACAATTCCAAATAGTTTGCAAGGGTTGCAGTGGTGTAAGAAACACTATTCAAATTTGCATTCAAGTACAAAGCCTTGAGCAAGATACTATAGTATATACTATCATAGGGGGTGACTAATATTATAATTACTAACCTACTACTATTTGCTCTGTTCAAATCCATATGACCAAGTATACTATCAGAAGTTGTTTCCTTAGCCTGGTTCTAAATATACAATTACACAGAAATCATTTCTCTACCCATTATGATGAGACATTGGGAGCTCCACTAATTGCATTTGGAGTATATTCCTATTAATTTCTAACAAAGATTATATTAGTAGCAGCGATGAGCAGAGTTTTAACACACCTAAAATTCACATTCCGTTGGTGGCAAGAATTAACTACAACATCACATGCATAGTCATTAGGACTGCCTGCAAAAACATAACATTAAATTTCTGCTAACAACAACAAAAAGTAATCAGATGTGGGTTCCTGATAATAATAGCCTTTGTTTGAAACCCATTGTTATTTGTTTTCCAACTACATTGACAAGCCAACATGTTACCAGCTACTCTTGTGGTATTAAATCCTTCAGCATTACCTCAGATTTCCAAAATGTGTGTATAGAATTATAAGAAGTCACATAGGCCATTCTGTCACACTCCCAGCCCAAAAACAGTTAAAGCATTCCTGACTTAAGTTTTCACACAAATAGGAAGAAGAGAGCTACGATAAAATATGAAATACAAAAAACAGCAACATACAAGAAGAGATTTTGTGCATTATAATTAACATTTTTAAGAGGAGGAGGGGAATACCTACAATTCCCATCACTTCTAGAAAAGGGATTAGGTTGAAGGAAGAAGGCTCCAGTACTACAATATAGCTTCATGCATGCGTGCAGATCAATCGCCACTCATTGTTACCTCTGTCAAAATAATAAAAATGTATTTCCCCAGGGAGCCCTCTTTACTTTCGCATTCAAGGGATCAGCCACAATATATTCCTCGCCTTCTTCCACCCTTCATGCCAGTAGCAGAAGCGAAGCCATTTACCATTGCTGTCACGTACCTTGCTCAGGGACCAGGTAATGTCCGGCGCGACAAAGCGTTGTTGCTGGGGTCCCCCATGGACAGCTGTCAACAGCTGGAGAGCGCCTACGGTCAGCCAGAACGCCAAAGCCTGCATTTCTTGGATCAACTCGGCTAAAATCAGGAAGAAAGCAGCTCACAAGCGCAGGGAGAGATCTAAAGCTCTTCGAGGTTCACTTTCCAGCTCCAGGAAGCAAGAGTCCCAAGAGTCCAGAGTGAAAAGCCCACCAAAGTCTCGGGGGTTATTTACTAGCCTCCCGTCCTCTCCTTCTGCATCAGAGATACCTTTGAACCCGCCTCCTTTCTCCACCAGATCTCCTGACGGAGAAAACGTGACTTATTTCGCAAGCACTGAGACCGGCAAGCGAGTTCTCTTCATGCTCCGATGCGAGGGAAGCGTTCTGACCTCTGCTGGTACGGAAGGTGCATCACTCAGGCAATTCAGATTGATTTCTACTTTTTTTAAAAAAAATGCTTCATTGAAAGGGAAGGAGGGGGACCCATTGGGAACTCATATTCTCCTAATCTCAGATTTTTTATTTCTACACCCATTTGCATATCACCATTTGTTCCCGATAAGAGCCAATATGGAATCTCCACTGAAAGTCACTCATTTATTTAGAATTTAAGGTGGAGAAAGGAGGCGGGGGTCACGACCCACAGGTTGAGAACCGCTGGACTAGGCCATTAAACTTTCATCCCATTTGGAATAATTGCTGTACTTTGTCTTCTCCTAATCTGTACCTTTTTTATCAGCTCAGCTGATTGGATTGTTTCCTGGATTTTTCTAGCCACTGTGTCAAGTTAAGTTGACAATTAATACTGTGGATGACACATGCATATCAGACCAAACGTATTTGCTCAGGAGCTACAAAGTAATTATGCAACTGCACAGTGCCCAGGAAGTATTTTACTCACTTTCAGAACTGACTCAGCATTCTTCCTCAGGACTCTTGCGTTTCACCAGAATTGGATGCAACTTAAATAAAACATGTATTGATAATATCTGAAAAACTCCTAGGTTCAGCATTCCATATTTGATGGCTTTGGGACAGTTAAAAGGCAACTCCTCTGAAATACCAGCTTGAACTGCATGTTAAAGCTGTGTAAAAGTCCTAAGCTCAGCATTCCATATTTGATGGCTTTGGAACTTGTTACACTGCAATTCCTGTCACCCTACTACAGCAGTGTCTATCACAAACACCGATGGCATTTGATGCAAAGGTAAATACAGGTGACCTATTTTCATTTGCTTCATCCCCTCTGCAGACACTGCAACTCTCTTGTCTTCCATATAGGAATTGAAACTGAGGAAGAGATTGGATCACCACTGGGCGCGATTGATTAATATGTAAATTCTTGGATCTTCCAGGATGAATATTGCAGCCAAAACCTATCTAAAGGTTCTGGCAGGGTTGTGTTGTTCCTCCAGATTGGCTCTACTCTGTCTGATGACAATCTACTTGAGCACTGAATGATGACCACATAGACAACTCTTTCCTACTAGTATTTTATTTTTATTAGATTTGCATCCCATCCTTTATGTGGCAACTCAAGGTACCTTATCCAGAAATCAGCTTGATGCCACTCCTTTAACCTGTGGGAGCTAAGAGACAGTCATCAGGCCACAATCATCCAACGACTTTCCCATGAAGCGCAAAGGCCATGATCAGCAGGCTTTTGCAGGTGTACAGTACTTGGAAGCACAGATTTAGTGCTCTTTCAGACCATGTTCAGACAAAAGGAGATCAAGTTTGGGCAGATTTCTAAAGCCATATTCCCTAGGCAAGTGACAGAATATTGGTGGCAGATGACCGAACCCATATTCTCCTGCTTTCCAGGACTGTTTTGTAAACCTTTCCTGACAAAAGAATGACAATGGAAAAGTTCTCCTAGCTACACTTGAGATGCAAAGCATGATTATGGTATTATGCCCATTTCAGCTTCATTTTGCATACTTTGGTAGTCATGTTGGACATTCTAGGCTGAATCCAAGGTAAAAGTGGCTGCAGCCATCAAAATTTTCTTCAGAGCACTGTTTCTCAACCTCAATAGCTTTCAAATGTGTGGACGTCCAACTCCCAGAGTCCCCCAGCTAACCTTGCTAGCTAGAGAATGTCTGAGAGTCGCTGAGGTTGAGAAACATTGCTTTAGAGTATTTTTTCCAACAACACCTTTTTCATACTCAAGTAATTAATGGAATATATGTGTGTGTGTGTGTGTGTGTATGTGTAATGTATACACACACACACACACACACACACACACACACACACACACACACATATATATATATATATATATATATATATATATATATATATATATATATATATGCAGGCCGAGTCAAGGGAGTATATGCAGGAAGTTTTTCAGACAGATGTCTGATTGATTACACCTTGACATTTTTAACTGCTGCACTGCAGTTTTACTTTTTACTTCCTGCATATGTGTGTGTGTGTGAGAGAGAGAGAGAGAGAGAACCAGTTGTTCACATATTTGAATCCCACCATTGTTATGTATGTGTGTATGTATGTGTATGGAGATGGAAAAATAAGGATTTATGTAAAAGCTATGTACATTTGAAGATATATCCTATGAATGTTAGCATCTGCAAATGACAGTTGCACCTATTCTGCAGGAGCCCCCATAGAGCAGAGGTCCCCAACCTTTTGGGCACCAGGGACCGGTTCCGTGGAGAGAGATTTTTCCGCAAACCAGAGAGTGCATGGTTTCGTGTGCTGTCTGCATCCCACGGATAGGGCTTTGCTTGTTTGTGTAGACTGGCTGCTGGCATGCCAAGGCCCAGTACTGGTCCACGGCCCAGGGGTTGGGGAGCCCTGCTATAGAGCATGACCTGTGGCAGTGCACATGGGTAGCTGCATCTCGGAATCAGGATCAATCTGATATGATGTGAGAGATGGTCAAAGGTCAGGGCTGATGATGAAGTGAAGTGGTAGCTAATTTGAGGGGCTTTTGAATAGAGGGATAGTCTCTGCTTCATACCAAGCCTAGGTGCTACCATCAAGTACTGCTGTTCAGGGGCAGCCTAGACGGGGGGGGAGGGGGAGAGATAGAGAATTGTTCCTCTTTTGTTCAGAGGTGTGTGAGTAACACATCAGCAAAGTTCAAGTTAGACATTTTTTGAATTTTTGAAATGCCAAGCCCAAAAGGTTTGCCATCGTGGTTTTAAAAATGCCTACATGCAGAGACTAAAAACAACTCACTGAAGGTTGCCCAGGGTTGTATGAGAGAATTTAATTCTATCAAAATCTTTTCACTTCTGTTCCATGTCAAAAGGTCTATGTTGCTAGAACTTCGTATCCAGGAGTAAATTGCTTGGAGGAAAAAAACTCACACAACAGAGGCTTTCCTTTGGATTAGTCCCCTACTGGGAAAAAACATTTCCCCCCCCCCCCCTCAATTTCTCTCCAGTTCCTTTTGCCCGAGTTACTTTATTTGTGAAATACCAGCACAGATTTTTAAGATGCAAAATGGCTCAAAGCAATCTCAGATGGTACTCCAAAGTATTATTAGCAGGGTGGTGTCCCTTTGACTAATTGTATGCAAAAATGTCTGAGCTGTTACTACTGAGGAGGAATCTGGCAAACCACTTTTCCTACTTACATCCTGAGATCAAAATGTTGCCTCGCCTTAAACAAGGGAGCAAGCAGGAGATCCTATCAACAGGAAAACAGGTTGCTGATAAGCTTGGCAAGCCTTCATTGTGGTGAATTTTTTTCCCCAGTTAGCTGAGTCAAAAATGAATTACCCCAGCTGTTAAACACAGACAGCAGGGGAACAAAACCCATGCGCTGGTATATTCTCATCTAAGAGCATTGGGTTTGAGCTGTACATATTTGCATTATAAAAGAGAGGTAGACTGGTGGGAATTTTTTTTTGCAAGAATACAATACAGTTAAACCTATTGCAAAAACCATCTCACAAAATCTGTCACTCACTTCTGAAAAAGAAGGAATGGCTTGTAAGAGGCTTTTCTTCAAACTTCACCAAAGCTCCAGTGTTTAGAAAAATTACTGATGCTTATATGAACTTTTCCCTGTTTCTAAGCCTCCACATCTCTAAATTTCTACCAAGTTTAAAACAATAAACTATGTTAGCTATGGTTTTTTTTATAAATCACTTTGGGATATACAGTATTTGAATAGAAAGAGGTATAGAAACATACTTGGCAGCTGCAGCACACTGCTGGCTCATATTTAAGTGGACAATCTCTTAAATATGAGCCAGCAGTGTGCTGCAGCTGCAAAAAAAGCTAGCACAGTGCTGGGCTGCATTAACACAGGGATAGAATCAAGATCACATGAAGTGTTAATACCACTTTACAATACCTTGTTAAGGCCACACTTGGAATACTGCATCCCGTTTTGGTCACCATGATGTAAAAAAGATGTTGAGACTCTAGAAAGAGTACAGAGAAGAGCAACAAAGATGATTAGTGGACTGGAGGCTAAAACATATAAGGAACGGCTGCTGGAATTGGGTATGTCTAGTTTAATGAAGAGAAGGACGAGGGGGGACATGATAGCAGTGTTCCAGTATCTCATTGGCTGCCACAAAGAAGAGGGAGTCAAGCTATTTTCCAAGGCGCCTGAAGGCAGGACAAGAAGCAAAGGATGGAAACTAATCAAGGAGAGAAGCAACCTAGAACTAAGGAAAAACTTCCTGACAGTTAGAACAATTAACCAGTGGAACAACCTGCCTCCAGAAGCTGTGGAATGCTCCAACACTGGAAGAGACTGGACAGCCATTTGTCTGAAATGGTATAGGGTTTCCTGCTGAGCAGGATCTAAGATCCCTTCCAACTATTATTATTATTGATCATTGCACAGTCAACCAGATAACTGGATTTGGCATTTTTGTCTACCTATCGAGTCCTTCCCAAGGACCTGGGATAGGCAGATGTGGATGTTTGATGGTATTACGCAGGATGGAAGCAGTTCCTAGTAAGACCGCCTTTTACAATTGACTAATGGCAAATTTGTCAATGCCAATGATGTTTAGATATCCTCTTCTTGTTGGACTGATCTGTAATAACAGATCATTAAGAGCCGAGGTGGCACAGCAGTTAGAGTGCAGTACTGCAGGCCACTTTAGCTGACTGTGTTCAGCAGGTCAGCAGTTCAAATCTCACCGGCTCAAGGTTGACTCAGCCTTCCATCCTTCCGGAGTAGGTAAAATGAGGACCCAGATTGTTGGGGGCAATGTAAATATATATATATACATTGCTTACTGGTGTACACCACTTAGAGAGTGCTTGCACTTAAAGCGGTATGTAAATCTCATAAATAAATAAATAAATAAATAAA